TCCCCAACATTCTGTGATTCTGTGTGAGTAAAACTTCTTGAAGTTAGAGGAGGAGGTTTAGAAATTTGTAGCTGTTTATTAAGATTGCATAACTTTACTGTATTACAGATACTGATACTGAATACTTCTCTGCCAGTTAACCGTGCTGTTAATAAATTAACAAACTGCTTCGGTCTTGATTTACATTCAAACTTTGTTAACTAAATAATTTCTCCCTGTGACACAAAATGAAGCACCTCAATAGTGAATTTTAATCCAGGCTCAGAAAACAGTACAGGAAGTCTTCCAGTAAGTCTTTTTAATGCATTGCCATTGCAAAGTAGCCAATTAGTCCATTTGATCTGAGTAGTTATCCAGAGCTATGTGGTAAAGCTTTGTTGCTTTTCTAGTGAGTTGTAGGAAGAACTCTGCAATTTTTCTATATGCCATAAAATATTAAATCAGAATTTTGACTTGTTTAAATATATTAATCCTCACTCATTGTTTTTGAGAAAATGTATATAAATACTCTTCTTTCCCACTTTTTCCATCCCATGTTTCTTGTTACAGGTATGTTTGTCATTTAATCTTCAGAGCACATTGGTGGCAACTGGAAGCATGGATACCACTGCCAAATTGTGGGATATAGAGAAAGGAGAAGAAGTAGTCACTCTAAATGTATGTTTGCCTCCCTTATATTTTAAAGGTGTTTCTTGCTTTCTTAGTTTTCTGAGATAAATACAATATAACCATTATAACAGTTTCAAAACTTGACAAGTTTCTTTTACCAGGTGGTCCCATGATGACTGCAGTCATAAAACAGTTTAAGAAAACTTGAATGGAATGATAAAACTATGGTATTTTATAAGAAGTCCTATTTATCAAAAGACAGATTTTCTCATTTCAGTGACATTACTGCTATAGATCATAATGCATTCCATCGCTCATTAAAACCTGTTGCTATCCTGCGAATTATGACCTCCTCTGCATTAACATAAAGTTACTCTGAGAACATTAATGTCAAACACTACATCTGTATGGATCTTCTTCCTGTAACCATCAGCAGAGGACGGCTTTCCAGTTACCTCTAGATGGTGATGTCTCTTTGCTCTGTGTGGCTTGCTGCGATTCCACGGGGTCAGCTTGGCCTGTGCTGTTTCAATGCATTTCTCTTGCATAAATTGTGGGTAACAGATAGTGCACAAGCTTCCTTTGGTGTATGTGGCCTATAGAATGAGGAAGGCATTTTCTCCTCCTTGACTTGTTCAGAGCCCTGAGCAGAGCAAAGAGCAGTGGAATGTGTGAACCTTTAGCTTATAAGTAAGCTAACCTTATTTTTTCCAACCCTCTCCACCAACAGCAATGACAAGCTGTACTGTAGTTTATTGTAAATAAATAATCTGATTTCAGTATGTATTGGTGAACAAATGTGATTCTGTTTAAATCAAATATGGAAAACATGCACTGATAACATCACGGGACAATTGTGCACTGCTTAAGTGACATGCATGATTTTTGCAGTTGTTGGGATATTGACTATTCCACAGTCCAGCAGATCTTTCTGTCAAAATTGTGATATACTGAACAAGACAGTAAATAGTATATTGAAGGGTTATAGAAGGATTATGCTGCTGAATTGTGCTACATATTAAAATACATTAATGTAAAAGTCATAATTTGTGTTCTCACTCTCCTTTTTCAAAATTCTCTCAGGGGCATTTTGCAGAAATTATTGCATTGTCTTTCAACACCACAGGAGACAGGATTATCACTGGCTCCTTTGACTACACAGTAGCAGTGTGGGATGTTGGCACTGGCAGGTACTAAAGTGCTAATAAATATAATTTTACAATGCATGTTTTAATGAAAAATGAAAGAGATAATGTTGAGCTACAAATTACAGACCTTGTATTTTTGCTTCATTTAGAGTATGCGTTCCTTCATCATATCATTTGTTATTTTTGTTCCCTTTGTTCTTCTGGAAAGGAATGCTACTCATTAAATGCTTTTGTATATGTTTTTAGTTCTAAATTTCCATCTTATGAGCACTGAGGAGGCAGACAGAGTGGACAGATCCTGTGTTCTTGATGATGAATTCTTCAAACAGGAAAATATTTTATGAACATGGAAGCTTATGATTTGGAAGATGTCTAGAATTTCTAGATGGAACAGATGGTTTAAGTGAAAAGAAAGTATATTTCATGTCATAGAAAATTAGTCTGGTCACATTGTCTTTAAAAACTGTACAGGATCTGTTTTCCTTCTCATAATCCTTTATGTCAGCATAAATGTATAAAGAGGAGAAAATTTGGCCCCTCTGACTGCAGAGATCAAAATGTCTAGATTATGATGGCAACAAATAGTAATGCAGTAGCTAAATATGAGCTACTTGTATTAGCCTGACAAATCCACTGTTTTTTTTTTTTTTTTTAAATTGGAAACTCAGGATAAGTAAAGTAATAAAATGATTGCCCTGGTTACAGCCAAAGTAATTTATGAAGATAAAAATTCTATTATGTTTCTGAGGTCATGTCTTTTTTATTTTTGTGGGAGCAAGGGGAATATCTCTGAAATTTATATATAAAGGAAAACGTGTATAGTGATATCTGGGGCTAATAAACAATGTGTAATGCTTCAAAATGAGAATAATCATGATTTAAAAATAGTGTACACATAGTACATCATTTAAGGCTTGATCTTGTAAGCTCTGAGCTTATTCAACACCAGCAGTGCAGTGTTTGACATGTAAATACTTAGGAGAGGCCCTCATTCAGCAAATTGTACCTTTGGATTCAACTTCATTCAGCCTGGTGTTCTTGCAAATATTTTTGTTTGAAAACAGCTTCATCTTCCAGCTTATTGTCAGAGCCTCCAGTGAAGTCAGTGTCTTGGGATTTTCATGTTGCATTCTTTTTTCTAAGAAATGAATATGGACTTCATATCAGGGTCAATACCAGGAAGTGGAATATGAAGGACAAAATTCTCATTAAAACACTGGCAGCTCTGATAATTAGCTAGTGGGCAATATAATTGTGCGAGGGCAAACATTCAGCCATTTAGATGTCAGTTGGGCATATATAAATTTAGTAATAATGAAAAGTTGCAGTCAGAAAGACTGTGAGCAAATAGTACTTTGCTGTATACAGGTGCAGGTAGATTTCCAAAAAGCTTGTAGGTAAGGTTGTGTGGGCCTGTCTTTCGCCATATGAAGTACATGAGATACACTGCTTTCCAAATTTGAATTTGAGCTTGAAGTTTTTTTTAATATTGCTGTCTGACTCTGATGAGTGTCTGTGTTCCTCAGTTTTATTCTGGGTAGGTATTCAGAATTGTCCTGAGGGAAGTTGACAAAGGACGAGAAATCTCAAAAAGGTTCAAGACTTTCTTCATAAAATGTAAAAATAAAAATATTTTTTAAAAAAGGGCAGGGGGGAATCATGCTTTTGTAATACAGATCTGCATTTCATCAATAATTTCTCCATGGCAGATACCATCAGCTATAGTTCAGCTGAAGGTGTCTTCAGAGCTCCGTTTGACAAATCAACAGCTTGTAACTTGGGGTCAGACTGGACACCAGGATGCTGAAAAAGAGGCAGTTTCTTCTTATTTGCAGTTACGGTGGAAGTATTAGAATATGCATATAGTAAATTTCACTGGAAACTGAAGGCTGAAGAAGTATTATCATGACTGAAACTTTTTTTTTTTTTTAAATAATTTAAGTGGAAAATTTTTGTAGCATTTCATAAGTCTGTTTTATGGGTTCTTTCTAATTGTGTGTCTGATAGGTAGTGGTTTCCGTGAGATGTTCCACATGTTGCTATTTATTATGCTTATTGATTGGATATTTCCGTTGAAGCTTGAGCCTGGACTGCCTTTTTGAAATTTGCAAATTAAAGCTTTTAAATTTTAAATTAAAACATTTTTTCATTGTTAAGTATTTTGGATATTAGGTATTACAATAACAGCTGTCTTGATGGCCAAATAATATGTTCACAAATTAAGAAGTTTTCCATTGCTGTTTTTTGCTTGTTGATTTTTGTTTTTACTGTAAAATAAAAGGGTCTACAAAATTACAACAGTTCAAGCCTCGCATTGTTAGAAAGTAAAAGGAGTTCTATAAAATGACATAAGTAATCAAGCTTTTGTTATCATAAACAAATAGAAAACTCAATTGCTCAGGAGATTTGTGTTGCTGTTCATTTAACCTGTATATTGATTTAGCTGTCCTTATATATCTTATGAAATGAATAAAACCTCTTCAGTCACTTAAACTAATTTAGTTGTTTTTCTAGTCATTAGTTTATCCATTAGTTAAAGCAGTTTTCTATTAATGATGCAGTGATATTAGCATTGTGATAATAGTCTAATTTACTAATCCCTTAATACATATATATCAATTAATCTTTTTTAGGGTTCACTGCCTTATAGGACATTAATTCATGGGACGCAATAATGGCTAATTGTACCCTCTATTCAGCTAAAGCTGAAGAATTTAATAGAACTAGTATTGCTAGTCTTGTGCAGCAAGAAGTTTAGGATTAATGAGGATTAGAAATCATATTTCAGTTTAGCTGTCATTTGCCTGTCTCTTGGGAACATGCTTACGTTAAGTACCTGATTAAGTTCCATTTATCTTCAGTGGGTTTTATAAAAGATTTAGATTATATGGAGTTTTAAAGATGTACTGTTTACAGTTTGTTGAAGTAGGATGAATGGGAGAGTAACGTGGAAAAACTTGCTATATCCGCTTTGTATGTAGGTGAATACAAGAAGTCTGTCTCTGGCACTGGAAAGTTGTCACATTTGACTGGAAATACATTCACTAAAATATTTTTTAAAGAGAAAGGAGGACTTTTCCAGTATATTCCTCTCTGTCTCAAAGATAAAAAATTGAATTGATGTAATACTAGAATCTTAAATCAGCTGTACCACTCCATTTAATTGTTTTAATGATGAAGACTTTACACCTTAACTATACCATTTTATAAACTTACGGTTTTCTATGCATATATCAAAATACACACTAGAAATGTAAATTCTCTTTTTTGTAGGATGTTACATTCTTTAGTAGGTCACCGAGGAGAGATTACCAGTGCACAGTTCAACTGGGACTGTTCTCTCATTGTCACTGGATCAACGGACAAAACATGCATGGTAAGAAAGTTGAGTATGTACTGAATACAGCTACTTAATATATAAAAATATATCTTTTGTAAATGGAAATGCATTATTTTAAAATAGTACATGTAATTCATTAAAGAATTTACAACTACATGCAAAACCTATAAGCTTATTAATTTCAGTGAAGTCCAGTTAAATAACAGTATATATTTTAAGGCTCATTTAGCCAATACACTGAAATAAAAACTATATAGGACTTCATTAAACTGACTAAACAGTGTCTCTTTATTGATTTATATCCAAGTTTCTTGTTAAGACATTGTTAGACAATGTTAGGAAGGGCCTATACATGTTGCTTTATGGATCAACTAGTTATCTATCAAGTAAATTAGTCAAAATAAACAAAAAAGTTACCCTTATGTATCTCTGCAGCTGTGGAATGCTATGACTGGGACACATATAGCAACTTTAACAGGTCACAGTGATGAAATATTGGATGTCTGCTTTGATTATGCTGGCCAGCGTATTGCAACTGCCTCTGCTGATGGTGAGTGAAGTGACTGGGACTGCTGTAAGAATTGCAATAATAGCATAAAGCACTTTTGTCCTTTTACTTTGGTTTTGCTTTAAATGTAGCTTGATGAAAGAAGAGTATTGTGACTCAAAACTGTAGACCAAGCAATGTTTGTTGCATTATAGAGAGTTTGGCATAAAACTTAAGAAGTATTCCCCAGTGCAAATGTTCTTATTTTTAACACTTGAGTCAACTCAATGTGTTTTTCCCCTTTAACTTCAAACTTGCAGGGAAATATTTCACTTGTGGCTGGAAATGCATTTTAAATGTTTAGTTAAGTAGCTTTTGAGGGAAGTTTGATTTCAGTGGCTCAAATTTAGGCTTAATTGGAAAATGTAGTTGGAATTTTCGTGGTGGATTTGCAACTAGGCTTTCCAAATGCACAGCAAGAGAATACACAATAAGGAGGTAGTGAAAGAATCAATTTTCTTTTGTTATTAGTATGCAGTGGTTTTGCATGCTTATCATGTTTTTATGAATCATAATAAATAGTTTTTTTGTATTCACCTGTACCAGGTTATATTATAGCCCATAATGACAATACTATTTATTTTTACATACTTAAGTGTTTTGATTAGCACTTTCAGAAACAGGATACTAAACTGGATGGGGGGAAGTACATGGATCTGATTTGCTGTAGTTGCAAAATTATGACATAAGACAGTGTAAAAAGTTTCCTGAAATGTAATCAGTAGCTTGTTAAATAGAATGAATATCTGAATTTTAAGTAAAGCTTTCTGAATATATTGTACATGCATTCTGAAATTACAGACTTCAGTAGTCCATGTTCTATGTGGACATTTGTATTCACATTTTAGAAGTTTTCCTGCAGAAACCATTAAGAAGTCAACCTTTTCCAACCAGATTACAGATCCTTCTTGACAGTTTATCCTTGGGAGAAACTGTGTTGATTGTCTTCTATTTCTTTTGAAATCAAACTAGAGGATGAGGTCCTTCTGATCTTATTAAAATGTTCTTATTGAAATGCATGCTTAAGTGTAACAGTCACAAATGGCTCTTAATCTACTATAACAGGATCAGCAAGAGTCTATGATGCAGAAACAAAAAAGTGCATTGCAAAACTAGAAGGGCATGGAGATGAAATTTCAAAGGTAAGCTGTTTGTGGTTTGCACCTTTTCTTATTTAATTATGTATGACATACAATCCACCAGTTATTCCATGACACAGGAATACTGTTAAAGAGGTTTGCACCTTTTCTTATTTAATTATGTATGTCATGGAATAAGAATGGTGGTAAAATATGGTAATATATGGTGGTAAAATAATTAATATTTAAGATTGAGAGGTCTGTCTCTCTCTCTAAAAGAACATTCCATTTAGTAGAGTTCTCTACTAAAAGAACAGTCCTTTCCACTAAAAGCTATCCATCAATGATTGTTTCCAGCTCCCCGCTTCTGAGCTGCAGAGGTGTGCTATTCCTATAGGCTCCACCAAGAGCCATCTCTCTATATTATCTTGTTATTTACTGTTGCAATACGCTGGCCAGCATAATCAAGGCAGACATCCAATATTTCATCACTGTGACCTGTTAAAGTTGCTATATGTACACAGAATTGTGGCAGTTAGCAAGCTACTTAAGAAGACCATCCCTCCCATCCCTCCCAACAACCTGGCTTTGTTAAGATTGAAATAATTGTTTTTCCTTACCTCTTTCCTTGGGTTGGGAAAGGTTGGGTTTCTGCAATCACTTGGCAGAGAAGAGAGGAGCAGAGAGGGAAATGCTGTCCGAATGGTCTCTCACTGTGATCATAGTTAAAAGAGCTTCTGTCTGACCTGTCCTGAATTGTAGCTGTGTTATTATGCCCTTGGAGTCCCCAGGTTCTCTGACAGAATAAGCACAAGATTTTTAGTCTCCTAATGATATCTAAGGCTATTGCCTCTGAGGCTGTTACTGTCATGCTTATTCCTCGCTTCTACCAGATCTGCTCCTCTTTATTCTTTTTCATTTCTCTGCACATTTCTCTCGTTTTGGAACAGAACAGAAAAAATATATTTTTGTGGCAAAATACATGGAGGGTCTTATTTTCAAAAGTGTATAAAAGACTTAGAAGTATAAAGCCTGTTTCAAAAATCACTTCGTCATGAGGAGTGTGCTCATGTACTTTGCTGGAACTCTTGTCTGTCTCCATTTTGAATGCCAAAGTTCAGTTCCAGATATATTTAGTTGCTTCCAAAATTGTACATCTTTTTCAAACTTTGTTATTTAATGCTTGCGACTTTTCATTATTCTTTTAAATAGCTAGTTTTCACTAGCTTCCAGGCTAGTAGGGTAAGTCTGTGCTGCTTTTGTTTGATGTATTTTGTAATTGAAATATGAATATTTTGAAATTAGGATCGTTCTTAGTGAACAAAACTCACGTGGTTTCATTGTATTGATTTGGCTATTGTAATCTCTCCACTGAGAGAATATTAAGTTCTGAAGGGCTAGTGTTTCCTCACTTAATATACTCACTGCAGTATTTCACGCTCAGTGTAGATGCACTGAGGAATGCAGTCTGAATACATGCTGAAAGGTGGGTGGGTGGGTTAGGGACAGTTTCTATCAGGGTCCTCAGTGCTGGCATGATTTCTCTACTAGAAGTGAGAATCTGCTAATCCAGGAGCATGTTGAAAAGTCAATCTGTTCCTGCAGATATTCTGTGTAGCTATCATCACTTGGGAAGGTTTGACTTGGAAATTGGATTTCTAGGGAACAGGCATTTTGCCTTCAGTAATTAAGCAATTTTGGGTTATATAATAAACCTGTTATTGTCCAGTTAGTGCTATAAAAATACATCTGATTATCTGGAAATGCATGCAATTTTGTCAATGAATGTTTAACAAATATGAAGACATAGTCCAAAATGAGTTGCCTTCAGTGGAAGTTTTGATATCATAGAGACATACGTTATTTAATGTAGAACTCTATAAAATATGTATACATTTTACACTGGAATAATGATAGCATGTAAATAAAGTTGTGGCAGTTGTAAAGCAGTTGTGATTTTGGGGGATAATATTCTAAAGTCTTGATCCTATAGTAAGATCATTGCATATAGACCTTTGTACATACACATCATTTTCAGCCGCAGAAGTTTGCCAGGGTGACTCTAGTGGAATGCTATCCTTGATTTTTGCTGAAAAACATAATGCAAGAGTTTCTGGTTTCTATTTTTATCTTTTAATCACTAGATATGCTTCCTTTTTTAGGCATATTGACTTGATAAAGAATATAACTCTCTTCTTTATTTTTAAAGGTATGTTTCAACCCTAAAGGCAATCGTATACTAACAGCCAGCTCTGATAAAACAGCTCGACTCTGGGATGCTGCTACTGGACAATGCCTTCAGACATTAGAGGGTCATACTGATGAGATATTTTCCTGTGCTTTCAATTACAAAGGCAATATAATCATTACAGGTATAGAATATATTCATTTTTTAATTGTTTTTAAGAGGCATTTGAAATCTTGTTATAGTAAAAAAAAAACAAAAACAAAAACCAAAAAACAAACCTCTGAAAAGTTTCCTGGGGCCATATCCCAACTGTAGATAACTGCAGTGACTTAAAATATAGTCAAGAAAAGCTAGAAACTCACTTTTGAACTGAGGCTTCAGTGAACATGGCCATGAACAAATATGTATAAAGGCATGGGCATAGCCTACCATCTCTCCTATGGGCTCATACTAGCACGAGACCAGCAACTAAGCTGTTTTCTCACAATGCATTACAGCGAAGGAGGTCTAGGTGAGTAAAAGGCAAAGCTTTTTAAATGGGAGCACACGTTTTGTGTATTTTTCACTGAACTCTGCTCGGGTTTCCTTCATTTCAGACAAAAAGTCAGGGGAGTGGGAAAAGACATGAACAGAGCATTTGTGATTGCTTTGATCTTTTGACTGAACTACCAAAATATGGGATACAGGATGATCTCAGCTAAAAATATTGTTGTAGGTCCTGCTGTCACTTGCTAGTCATGGGCAGAAAAATATTTCTCTGGCTCCTCAGCATTTTGGGTAGATTGTTCATGTAGATGTTAACAAAAATGGATAAACTGTGTGATACAGCTATATGATTCCTTCACAATGTGTTTTTATTACTAGGGAGCAAGGATAACACCTGTAGAATATGGCATTGATGGAAGAGGAAGAAAGATCCAGTTTGGTATATGCCTACTTTGTGAGTTTCATAGTCAATAAACTCAGTCTTTCAGATCTGTTTTCTTTTACCCTCTTTGTTCGCTTTCAGTTTTGCTGAAGTAGAAAAGTTACCTAGATTTTGATAGGTTTGACTTTGCTTATGTCTGGTAGATATGGAATCACAGTATAGTAGAAGTTGGAAGGGACCTCTAGAGATCATCTAGTAGAATACCCCTACTCAAAGCACTGTCAACCAAGCAGGCTGCCCAGGACTGATGTGGTTTTGAATATCTGCAAGGACAAAGACTCCACAATTTCTCTGGGCAACCTGCTTACTCTCACAGTAAAAAACCCCCCCCAAATTCCCTTATGTTTAAATGAAATGTTTTCTTGTATTTCAGTTTGTGAATGTTGTCTCTTAAGTGGGTACCACCAAGAAAAGTCTGTCTGTGTTATCTCAGTCACCCGGGAGAAATCATGATTAATGGGAATGAATCCAGTAGGATGGCTCCATTTCTTTGTGCGTCGTTTTTAACTTGTGAGAAAAGAAGAACTTTTAAGGAAAAAAAAAATACAGCATTATAATAGTCTCAGGTGTGAAAGGGGTGTTGTTATGCACTTGCTCTTTTGTATTAATTTTTTTGTTGTTTAATAAAGTATTGAGTTAAAATGCCGGTTTCACTACTTGTAATACAATGTCCCACTTAATATTTCTGGAGAAAACCAGCAACCATTTGTGAACTGCATTGCTATTAACTGTTGCATGCTGTAGTTAAACTCCCACTCACCCCCCTTTCATATTTGCCCACATCTTTCCATTCATTCCCTTCCTTTCTGCTTAGCCCTCATTCTCCTATTTTCACCTGAGATTAAAAAATAAGAATATGGGTGGTGACTCTAACTCTGAATCCTGGCTCAAAGATTACAGCCAGCATGAAGAAATTCTACACACCAAATATTTGGAGCTAAGGATCATCACATAAACTAAGAAGTGGATGAGGAACTCCTGCAAGATGTTTACCACTGTACCATGAGCTCTTGCCCAGGATTACATCTCGACAGCAATTGCTTTCACCTGTGCAGGGCTCTCCCAGCTTCCTAGCAGAACACCTGAACCTGCAGTTGCTCTTTGCAGGGGAGTAGCAAAGGAGCAGAGCTGACTGGTTTCTTCCAGCAGCCTTGAAAGAAGCATGAAGAGGCAAAGAGGGTAGGATTGAACAAATTGTGTGTGTTGACTGAGACAAAAAAGGAAGAAAGGAAGCGTGCAGCAGAGAATGAACTTGAAGGTATTTTGTTTATATTGTTTATCTCTGAGCCGCTATGGACTTGACTTCTAAATGTTGTTAAATTTAATAGGAAGTTACTAATGCTGATGTGCTCAGACTATCTCTGAGTACTTGCCAGCGTCTTGTGTGTAAATGAAGAAACAAAAGTGCCTGTCATCACTTGGCAAATATCCTGGTAGTCTCAAGTAGTGTTGTGTTGTGGGAGAACTAAGCAGTGTACTGAAGATAATTTCAAATTAAACCTTTGCCAGTCGGCAGTGGCTGTTATCAATGTTACGGTAATGCTTGTGGTGTTTCCTGTTGACTTGTGCAAAGACTTATGATTATCAAGTGTCTCAGTAATCCAGAACTGAAAGGCTATGCAGTTCTGTGTTATTTTAGAATTGCCCTGTGTCCCTAGATCAGTTTGCACCTCTACTTACAGATGTGACACAGGTTATTTCTGGCTAACAAAAAGAGAGGAAAAGTAGTGTAATGAAATGTGTACAAATATTGGTGCATGGTTGAAAACTGACATTTGACTTGCTGTGAAACCATCACAAAGTAAAAAAAAAAAAAAATCTTTGGACGGCGATTAGGAAGTAGATTTTTTGATGAATCTTTCAGGTTGAGTTATTTTTTGTTGCCTTTTCCTTTATGATTTTTCTCTTATGTTAGTGATTCAGTGAATCAAACAGCTGTAGTGGCTTTTGGTTTCGAGCTCTTGTCCTTTTTTTAATGCAAAACTGGGAGTGAGTTGAGGTTTCATAGGCTAAGTATTGGACTGGGTGGCCATCTGAGCTCTATTTGTGACTCTCCCTAGATTCACTGGGTGAACAATTGCTTTTCGGGCTAAGTTATCCAAGTTTCCTGCTCAAATGTGAAATATGCACATCTAGTGTCATTCACAGCACTGCTGAAAAGTGCATTGACTTGATGCCTCATAAAACTTCAGTAGTACTCTAGGTAACATCATATGAATGATTTTATGTTAGGCTCTCTGCACCTTGGTTTACCCATGTGTAGCTTTAGTAACTTATTGAGATATACATTAGGAGTGCATTGTATAGATGTATCATCCTGAAACCATTCTGTGTCTCTGGTAGCAGCTTGATCCCTTTCTTTAATTCCACTTCAGTCCCTGCAACCAAAATAGCATATGTGTGTGCGCTTCACCTCTATTGTATGGTGCCTTTTTAATCTTATAAAAACAGTTGGCTTCTACCTACCTTAAAATTTCCAAGCTGCCACTTTAACGTGGTGGGAGTGGGATGTGGCTTTCAACATTATCCTGAAATGCTGGCAAACTTGGTTCACTGTGACCTTATTGAAAAGGGTTATCTCGGGAGACTCCTGAAGCGTGCTTTAGTAAGGACTGTCACAGTGGAAATCATATTTGCTGTATAGTTTCTGTCCTTTAGACCTCTGAATCCTTCCAGTACATACCTCTGTGAATATACTAGTTTGTTTTTCTGGGAAAGAAGCCCTTAGCTTGTATCACATAACTTCCCCAGGGCAGAGCACACATTTTTACAAGGTGAGGACGAGGATTTTCATGTAAGCACATGATATGTACTTGGACTCTTGACACGTGCTTTTTGTATCTCTTTTCTGAATAGGCTCCTTCTGTGCGATGGCTTGCATTTCCTGGGTAGTTAGTGAAAGGATATGAAATACATTCTGCTTGGTTATATTTTCCAGTTTGCTGCACTTTACTGTCTAATTTTCAGCAGAAGCTGGGAGGAGGACACAGTATCTTATCAGCTGGACCTGTCTTCACTGCAAATTGTTTTAATTAGTTTGATAGTGCAGCTGTCTAACTGTCTGTCCTGCTCAATGCTGTACAGCTGCAAGTTGCTTTCTGAGGGCCTGTTCCTCATGATGACTGGCTTTAGAGTGGGTCTGAAAATTGTAGTGTCATTATGAGTTTGCTCATACTTAACGAAGGCTTGAGAATTGCTCTGCCTTGAATTAAAATTCTTAAATTGGCTAGTATGGCTGTGCTTTCCTTCTCAGCTGGAATTTGTTTTATTTATTAAGTAGCTTATGTGGGTTCTTTATTTCAGTGGTGGGTTTTTTTCCCCTGACATTTTGAAAGTGTGTGCAGGATTCATGGTGACATTCCTATGCTGGTCTGTCACGCACTTCTGCATGAAACTGGATGGGAGACACAGTAAAATCAGCCTCTCTGGATGGGTTACTTGCTTAATTTAATAGGATAACTGTAAACAGGTGACCATTTTTATCATAGACCACAAATCAATGGTTAATTTATGTAAAGACACTATGAAAATCTTCAGTGTTATGACAAAATGGAGGTAAATTATAATTTTTCAACTTCTAATGATCCCAACATTAAAAGCACCCTAAACGAAACCAAACTAAAGTTTTAAATACTTATTTTTCAGTCAGTAATTCTCCTGTGTGTGAATTAATGTATCTACAGACCAAATCCTGCTCTTCATTAGGTGAGTGGTATGGTCAGCCCTGGGCTGGAAGGTGCCTGCCCCTGAAGCCCCCTTGCAGAGTAAGGAGGTGTGCGGGGCTGCCCTGGCTGGGACCAGCGCTGCAGCAGGTGCTGAGGCAAACCTCTCTTCTGATCCCATGGTGGCCTCTGATGGCCAGGGCATCTCCTGAGGCTCAGAGCGTTTGTCTTACTCAGCAAATTGTGGTGCCTCTCTTTCCAAGTACTTATCTAGCTCCCATTTGAATCTATGTACAAGTTTTGTGTCCTGTCAAGTTTTGCTTTGAATCCGCTCCTACGAGTTTTGATAGTTGTGTCTCAGCTTTTGTACAGGGAAAGACAGTGAGCAGCCTGCCCCTCTGTGCCCTAGTGCTGTTAACAACCTGCATCATGCTCATGTATACAGAGAGGCTGAACTGCGTGTAATTTATTCTGATTTTTTTATCTAAAATTGTATGTAGTATGTTCTCATTTATGTGTATTTAAAGTTGACTTTAATTTTTTCTGCCTTTACTAACAGTGAACAAGTCCTGTTCTGATTTACTCAGCTAAGTGTTGGTTTCCTTTTCTGTGTAGGAGTAAAAATACCCTTACACCTAGGCAGTAGGGCAGCAAATACCTGTGCAAACTTAAACAAGCAGAAGAAACTCCTGAACTTCTGCCTCCAACCCCCATGCCCACTTTTGCAGGTACTGAAACCAGCTAAAGGGGGCAGTAATAGAGATTGGGTATGTTGGGAATTATTCTGGGGTTAATTCTGGGCAATGAACATGTAATTTCTCTTTATTTTACTGTGATACTAAGAATATTATGATTAGCCTTGTCTCACTTGAACATATTGTGGAACCTGTGTAAAGCTGTAGCTTTGGTACTGATGTGAGACCTGGAGCTTGCTCTGACTTGTTTTGGTCAAGGCCATGGGTCAGATTTGCATTCAGAAGAAGAGCTCTGAGAAGCTACAGAGACGGCAGGCAAATATTAATAGGTCAAAAAAGGAAAGAGGACACACATTATAACGTAAATTTATTTCTGAATAAATTGCAACATTAAGAACTACTGTACAGAGAAACGGCATCACACTGTTACAACTATGGCATATTTGTGCTTTGTAGGATAAGTAAACGTTTATTCTATCACAGCAAAAAATTGTATACTGACAACTAACGGTATTTGGTTTAAAAATAAATACACTTTCTCATTAACCCAAACAAAGCACTTGAAGTCTATAGTACTTGGTGCTTCTTACTGACTTTCAGCCTCAGAAATGCTG